TTCATACATAACGAGTAAATGCACATACTTACAAATATTTAAACCATTCCACTCAAGTGCCATAACTTAAAACGTTTGATTAAACCACATACGTAATAATGATTAAGTACGATAATTTTTTTTTTAATTTTGCAAGCTTTGAAAGTAACTTTTTTAAGCATTCTAAAAAAGATGTGGATATTCAGAATATCCACATCTTTTGTTTTCGAAACAAACTTTCATAATGATTCTTTTCTCCGGGGAAATATCTTTAGCACTAATTTACATATCAGAATAATAAAGTCTACGATTAAATAAAAGTGATATCTTTCTTATTTTTTTACATCAATTTTTCAATCGTAATTTTAATTTTTATCATTTCTCCGATCGAAGAAAACCAATGTGTACGAATTGTGAAGAAACAAATCAAAACTACCCGAGTTACTTCCCTTCATTTTTTTAATGCGCATGCTATGAGGTTAACTCGGTATCAACGATTAGCTATTTCAGCTGCAGAAGCCCATACGCGTCAAAATAAATTTGTGTTTTTACGTAGTGTTTATTTTAAGAAAGTTTTCATTTACTTCAGAAACTGAGATTGAAAATTTATATGTGTTTCTGTATATTAGTAGAAATAGATATATTTTATATTAAAAATTAATGCAAGAAATTAATCATATATATGATTTTTTTTTACAATAAAATTACCTTACTTTATTTTTACTAATATATATTCATTCATTGTATTTATTTAAAATTCATATTTATAATTAACTTATTGTATTAAAATCTTCTTTTGCGTGTTTTTTTTTTTATATAAAATGAGTTTATTTTGTATCTACTAATATACTAAAACACATTTAATTTTTTTTTTATAAAATTTCCTGAAGTAAATGGAAATGAAACATTTCTCAAAATAAATTCAACGTAAAAATACAAATTTATTTTGACGCGTATGGGTCTCCGTAGCCGGAATAGTTAATCGTTGATACAGTTACTTTCTTCGAGTGCGATTCTGAAGAATCGCTTAAATTAGTACCTACGTCCCGCCTGAGGATGAGCCATGCCTCATGTGGCCGACTTCTCGAAAAAAGTTGCCCATGCCTGAAAGAGTTTTGAAACATCTTGTATTAAAGCAATACAGAAGGATAAGGTGAAATTTGAAGTTACAAGAGTTCAAGTGTCAAAAAGAGAAAAAAGAAGAGGAGTCCTGGAGAAAGTAAAGATATATGTATGCATGTATCCAAATGTAGTAGCCACCGCTTAAACACGGGGCGAAGGAAGGTATGTTTGTTTTCAACGTAGCAAGGGTGGGTTAGCTTTCTAAGGTCGCCAGTTAGTCGTGCAAATGTTATATTTCGTTTCTAGGTACCTTCCGATGAACGGAAGATGGACAAAATTCATTCATCGATTTTGAACGATTTTCCATCTGTTTATATACACATCTATAGATCCAGTTTGAAAAGGTCAATTGCTTCTCATTGACTCGCGGCCTTATATCCTGGTTGTGAAAGATTTCTTATTGGTTGGCCAAACTATGGCTTTGTTTACCTCGCGGTTTTTATTATACGTCTCTTCTTAGAGATGGTGAAATTTTGGTCTTGTTATTTATTTTTATTTATCTATGCCTCTATCATCATTAAGTGTAAATGTAATCTTTTGGTTATGAGTTCAATTCTAGACCATGTAATAAAATAGTATAATCTATTTTATCAAGAGCGAATAAGAACCGGCATTCTTCTTCTTTTCTATGTGCCGTGTTCCTTCAGGACATAAGTGTTCATGGCTCCCCCAACTTCCTATCCCTTGTCGTCTTTAATAGTTTTTCTATCGTTGCTAAGATGACCGCTCCCAGTTCCCTATCTTTCTTGCTCTCAGTATGCCCCGTGAAGTTTGTCTTCCAAGCCCTCTTTCCTCATTACGCGTCCAAAGAATTTTAGCAGTCTTTTCCTGATTCTGAGTGTAAGTGTTCTTTCTGTTGCCATTTTCTTTAAGACTTCCCTGTTGCTTTCTTGCGCCATCCATGGAATTCTCAGTATCCTCCTGTAGAACAACATTTCTACTGCTTCTATTTTTTTTTCCTAAACCGTGGGGAGATTTCAGTTAACCATTTTCATTTTTAAAAAAAACCTTAATTAGAATAACAGAAACTTTTAAATCATTTAAATTGTATTAATTTGTAGCTGCCAAGAGATATTGTCATTAAATTAAAACTGTATTCATTAATTATAAAAGGAAATGGAATTCTACAACGTCCAATATTTTTTTTAAATTTGAATTTTGTGTGTGAGTGTGTATAAACATGTTGGTTTTTGTGAATACGGACATCCATACACGAGACTATCATAAAATAATAGAGATACCTATAATTAATTTATTTTTTTTAAGTAATTTTCTTTCATTTTCTCAACAAGCACCTTCGTCAAGCCAAGTCACCTAAAATTCACTAAAATTTCAAATTGTTTAAATCAATTTCCTTATGTTTACAAATTTATGGGTAGTTTTACAAAAAATAAAAATAAAACATACCAAATGTGTTCACGATGTAATCGTCATTTAATTTGTTTCAGTTCTATCCCCCTTACTTAAATTTTCCAAATATCAGACTGTCAATAAATCACTCAGCACTTAAGAAAAACAACCCTTTTGTTTTAAAAATGTACTTTTCTGCTATATTTTAAAATAAAAGTAATTAGTATTTGTTTCGATTTTGACGAATTAAACTTTAAATCAACTAATTTTCCTCTAATAACGTTTTAGAAAAGTACATTTTATTTTTAAAAGATCCTTTACAAAATGTGAATTATTATGTGTTGACAGATTTGTCAATATGGACGAATTTATAGATTTTAGTGATAAAGAGGAAAAAGATTACAGTCATTTTAAATTTGGTTTGAAATACACCAAAGTATTTTGTTTATTGGGAATATTGACTTTAATATATTATCGTGGAATTTAAACTAAAATTTTCAAGAAGGATTTTTTATTTTTTGAAATAAATTTTAAACCTTATGTTTTTCTTTTCTTTTCTTTTTTCGTTTTTCTTTAAGGTATTTATCGAAATGAATACATACATTTTTAAATGCATTAGCGCCAAATTTACTTTTACATATGCACTTATGTCAAGGCTGTGTATCTTGTTCATTTCAATGCCTCGTTATTTTTATCAAACATAGCTTCAAACATTCAAACTTTTGTTGTAACCGGCAAATAGAATTAAAAGAATTAAAAGAATGCTGGTTTCGTGTTGTCAGCCATGAGTTATCTCCACTTTAGTTTTGGTTAATTAAATGATCCAAAATTGCATTTAACACCTCGTTAGTTATTTTGCTTAAATACTTTTTTCTTTTCTTTTTTTTGCTTCAGCATTTCATAATGGTTCCTCCTTATCCGTAGTTTTAGTTAACCGTGGTCAATTTCAGAAATAAAAAGAATGAGCAATTTTATTTAAAGGCTCCAGATTGCAAGAGTAGTAATGTTGTTTGCGGATGAGAAGGTGAAATAAGTTTGAAATGTGATCAGAAGGCTTTTTAGTTACATAAGGTCGGCTGCTGATGAGATACGTTCGCGCTCCTTATTTATTTGGTTGTGGTGTCGTCTGACAGGCTCCAGGCTGTCGTTAAAAAATATTGGCGGCAAAACCTAATTGCGTAGGCGTCTTTTATATTTATTGTTATTCAGCCAATCAACGATTAGAAAAATAGCAAGGTCTCTGTGATCCACTTTTTGCACAAAATTGCAATATTTTCTAACCAATGATTTGTTGAGAAGAATTTTAAAACTGAAGTGAGACGCTAGAATGTCGTAAATTTGGATCTACCAAAACGAATCCGTAAATTAAATTGCTTCCTTTCAATGAAAATGTGAAGGATCTCTACTTAACAAAGAAAAATGTATCTTATGTTGGAGTTACTAGAATCTACAGTAAAAACGAATATTTTTGACATCAAATTCTGTTTATGACAGTATATTGATATAATGTTTATTTATTATTGTTGTCAATTGCTTAATTCCAGGTAAAGATGAATACCTGTGTCAGGTGACAGTTAATAGATACGTGTGATGCGGGGTCGATAATTATGTTGACCTCACAAACCAAAATGAAAGAGAAGTGACAACAGCTGAAACAAGTGAAACAAAAGCAGAGTTTTTAGCTTAACAAAGGCCAACTTTATTATTTGGCGAAAACTATCAAAATCTTGATATGTGTTTGGGTATGACGGGTCTTGGCCCTCGGAGGCGTTTTCGCTTTTTATTCTCACTGTGTTGGGAATTGAATGTATATTCGTGATCTTCAGTAGCAATATGTAAAAATAATGGCTCCTTGTTTAGAGATAAAAAGCAGGTGTAGAAATGGAGAAAGAGGGTGAGATATTGTCCTTAAAACGAAGAAAACTTCTCGGATTACAAAAGAAATTGTCGGAGTTAGCTCCTCCTTTATTTCCTTAATCCTTCAACAGGGGTCTCTCTCCCTGGCTATAAATACTGGGTGACCCTTCGCCCCTTTCTCTTTTTACTCAGGCGTTCAGCCTTATACCACCTCACAGATGTGAACGCTCACAGATACAGCGTTTCCCAAATGCTGGGAACACGCTAAGAACAATACACGTACGTACGAACACTCACCACAACACACACACATAATATTCACCACACGCACTCTGTCCATGTAACTTGTAACCTTTCTTGTTATTAATACATATATTTGTTTACATATATTTATCGGTCTTGTTTGTTTTTCCTTGTCTTCTTTGGACTTAATTAAAGTCCAACTTTCTCATGTAGGTGGACCGGCTAGCAGGAAAATCTTAACCCACATGTGTTCTTCTACATCTACATACACATCACCGCTACGGTCTACTACAATATCACTGAATGCAGGATTAATGTTGCTTAGTCATTTCCGGTCGTAATTTACTAATTGATGTTGGACTGTGAGTCAACCATTTTCGGTTACGATACATGTATTGAATGCAAACCAAAACTCTAAATTGTTTTTCTTTTGTCAACATTCATTACAGTGACAGTGTGATGCACACACGCCGAGATGAGGCTCTCACCTTGAACAAGACTGTAAATATTGGAACAATCAGAGATATTACCAATTTGATAAAGGAAGCATTCCCCGAAGTTCCACTCATTCCCACCGTAGGAAATCATGATTTCTTTCGAGATTCTCAGACGTCGACGGCCATGTTGGAAAGCATGTCAAAGGTCTTCTTCAATGAGACAGAGTTGCACACAGCTACGTTTAAAAAAGGTAAAGCTTCACAATGAGAAGCGATGGCGCTATAAATCGTTTTCACTCTGTCCTTATATGTTATTGATAACTATTTTTCTACTTGTTACATTTTTCCACCGCTTGTATCTAATGAAGATCAAGTGATAAATTTCTTTAATATTCCAGGGCAGTTCTCAGTATCTTTGTTATTATTAATGTATGAATTTCTACATTAACAGTATCTGAGCTCACCACCTTCACTGTTTTCTTGATCTCAGTACTCTCTTAGACATCTATCTTCAGTTTGCAGTCTCTGCTCCCTAGTGTCTTTCAGATAATTACAAGGGTGTCGCTTGTGGATCCAATCTTCAGATTCTACAATATTATTAGCAATTCTAATTGTCTACAAGGTTTTGATGTAATCAAACAGGACTTTACTGCACGTGTAAACACTCTCTCGTGGGGTTACTCAGTTAGCCGTAAGACACAACTAAGCTCTCTTTAACTGTTCATTCTTCACATTTCGTCCATATATATATGTGTGTGTGTGTGTTGAAGTCAACAACCAGAGGCGACACTCTGTTTCCTGCTAAATGCAATCGCCAGGCCTGTAATCTAACTAGGTATAGAGCAATAGTGAAAATTCACGCTCATCAGAATCTGGCGGCAAGCTAAGAGAAAGCTAGAATAAATAACATTGCAATAACAATGAAAGACGTAAGTTCTGGTTAGTGAAACACGATCCTTTTTTTTTTTCAGAAGGAAAACATGGATAGCAGCAAATGAACGCTAGCAACAAATGTCTTTCATGTATGGTCCTTAAAGCGAATTAGCGTATTTGTGAATTCTTTTGAAATTAAACTTACCGTCTCATATTTTCTCGTATTTTGGAGCTAGAATTTAATCATTTGAGGGCGTTTTGATATGATTTGTAGCTTCAAATCAATAATTGATACGAAGTAACGTGTATTTTTATTTTCTATTCCATGTTCCTCCAGAACGTAAGCAGTCTTTGATCTCAACAGATTCCTTTCTTTATTATCTGTAAATTGCTCTGATTTCTTGGAAAAAAGAATGGAATTTTTATCCTCCCCGTGTTTGAATTTCAAGTTCTTCTTTACCTTTTTAAGGTTAGAGATTCCGGTGTCCTCTGCTGTTTAACCTAGGGTAAAAAAAGAAAAGAAATGGATTCTTGCCTTTTCCAACGGCGTTAGTGCGACGTTAACGTAATAAACTGTCATTTGAACTCGGTTCCCGATTCCACTCTCCATAACGATAGCTTTTATGTTATCCACATATCCAATGCGAGATCATGTTTTAAACTACACACATCATTTCACGACAAAGGTGGGGTAATGGATAGCGACTCGGATTGAGGAATCGGAGAGCCGAGATCGAATTCCCGTCAAATTGAGCCTAAATGAACCGGGTAACACATACACTCATAAATCATCTGGAAAAAATCTGCCTATGAAATATTTTATAGTATATCTATTTTTATTTTCCTGTTTTATCTTTTTTTTTTTTATCTATTTTATTCATAATAATCTTTATTCTTTTCTTGAGGTGGCTACTTTAGTGCGAACGTTTCTCCACGACTCAGACTATTGAATCTGAACACCATTTACTACTATAAACGAAATAAAAATGTTAATCCAACCACAAATGTTGACCCCGCTGATCAATTTGATTGGCTCGAGAAACAACTGCAGTTATCAAAGAAGGAAAATAAAAAGGTAAGTCAAAAATGTTTTCATTAATCAAATAATTTTAACGTACCGAATTACAAAATAGAGGGTTGTTTGTTTTTTTGTTTTTTTTTCTTTTTACAAGAATACATTTTGGCGCGCTTCATAAACATTACACGCTCGATATTATTCCCATATAATCATTAAAATCAATTTACATTCGTTTTGATTTTGAATTACAGCAAATTATTTTGCATGTTGGAAATATTAAATTCAATCTATTAGCTTGAAATTAAAACTAAAATAAAAGCTTCAAGAAATATTTTTCATTTTTAAAAAATTATTTTAAACATTAGGTATCACGTTTCTTTGGTATTACCTAAATGTTGTGGGTTTATAAGCATTATATGACGCATTTATCGATATAATTCCCATGTAAACGTTGTGTCTTCATAAAATAAAATAGTTTTATGGCGGATATATTAATTTAACTTTAGATTAGGAAATAGGGCAGACGCAGAAAAGGATAACCAAAAGACATTGTTACACATAAAATATGTATTTAATAAGATGTAAAATATCAAATAACGATGTGAAGAAAAGCATGCATTTAAGTAAGAAAAGGTCGAGTTAACCAAGAGTTGTCTCTCTTTAACTGTTATTTTAGTGTTCCAAAGTTCACTGGAAGAATGTTCATGAGAGTCGCTTGTAATGATTGTTCTTGAAAGATTTTTCTGTGTAAGAAAAGTTTATGTGAGTGTGTACAAGGTATGTTCAGCATGTGAGTGGTGTGTGTGAGTGAGAAAGTGGGCGCATGGTTTCAACTGTCGTGGATTCGTTTGGCAGCTGAAATCTCACTAATGAGGATGAGAAAACTCTTGCTTAAATAAGTGACTGTAGGCTCCAGATCTCTGCGCGGGAAGAATTATTCTTCACGTGCAAACGATCTGATTGGTTGGCATCGACCAATCAGCGAGCGAGCTTTGGGGAGACTTAAGAAAGCTTCTCTGATCCGTTTCTCCCAAAAGTGCACAAAATCGATTTTAAAAATAGAGCGATCATAAAATTGTCGCATTACAGCGATTTGTAAATTGTCTATAATAACGTAGTGGTGATTAATTAACCAATGAATGCTTGGCGTTGTATGTGACTTGTATTTTTGTATGTATGTATGTTCGTGCCGAATAGATCCACACAGTTTAATAAATCAATGTCATCAGCAAATAAACAACAATGTTGTGGTAATTTAAATTTGGTTTGTTTTTGTTTTTTTCGTTTTCTTTTTCGTAATTCTTAGCTTCAATAATTTCCTATATTAATGAAAGTTGGCTTGATACAGCATCAGTCCAAACAGTCGAAAATAAAAATAAAGAAAAATCTCTTGAGCTAATCTCCCAAGTCGGGAAATATCACCTGGGCTCAAACACTGATCGTCTCCACAATCAAGCAAACCCATATACAAATATACTTATTTAATATTTGCTAAACTAAATTTAGTATGGCACAAAGTCAAATAGAGACAATAAAGGAATATTTTATTACACCAATCTTTATAGTGCTAAGTATATGTCTGCTTTGAAATAAATTTAATTTCTCTTGATATTTGGTAAGCTTAACATGACCAAATGAAACGATTCGTTACCTTGAAGATAGTTAACAAGCTGAATATTTGCCTTTTCTAAGGCGACATTTTTCTTTTTGGGGTTCTAAATGGAACCTTAACAGCGATCAGAGTTTTGAATTCTATCATAATTGAAAGTCATAATGAACTCTTGTATCACATTTAATTTTAATATCAGGTTGGAGTCCAAAAAATACTAACCTGATAATAAATTGTCATCCCACTGCAAATACAGACATAACACCGGACTGTTTTTATGATGGCATGGCTTTCAGTTAGTTATGTGCCATGCGTGATACACGCGTAGGCGATCATGTATGTTTCAATATGACTGACGAGATAGATTATTACCGCAGTAGGTTGCCATTTCTTTCTGTGGTAGACCAGTTTCCATCCAAGACTCTAGAACCCGGTCTGTCCTGCCATTTACCCATAGCTGGTGGGAGTAGAAGAGGATTCATACCTTTCCCAAGAGTATTAACACGACTGGAATTCGAACTCGGCTCTCCTAAATTACTCAATCCGAGCCGCTATCCATTACTCCACCGTGCCTCCTAGACATTACTCGTGCTACAAATGTAAGTTTTGACTTTAGTGTCCGGGAAAAACGAAAGGAAAAAATGTTAACAAATTTTCATTCTCATAAGGAAATTATCAGCAAAATGGCTAATTTAATTTACACTATATGCATTGTTCGGACTATTGTCCGCATCTTTACTGTCAGACTCGCAACGTTCCAGCCCTTATACGCTCTGGCATTCGTCAGGTGATATTCGATGGAATTTCGAACGAACCCTATATTTAGTCTACAAGGGAGATTGTTCTAATTCCATGTGCCAGGCTTTTTTCTGGATATCTAGAGTTTTATTCACCTTGATAACTCTCCGAGGATTCATTCTATCTGTTGAGGCCAGAGATTGAACTCACAGCTCTTTAGGTCAAGTCACTTTTTTGATCAATCAACCAACGCTTTTATCCACTAGACCATAGCTCCTGAAGAACGGGGCATGCAACGGCCGAAACGTCGTGAATGTGTTATCTACTTGTAAGATCCCGAAATGAGTAATTTGAAGAGAACTAAGGCGGCATTGCTCTACGTAGGATATTTTTACCGTTAATATTGAATAGCTAAATCTTAGACGGAAAACAAAAAGAACACACACAATCTTCTTTCGGCACTTAATCCAGACCCATATACAGGGTGTATCTTTTACAAACTTTGAGGTGCGGGTTCCTCACACCAAAACAAGGACATGAGTCAATGGCGACTCTAGGTCATCAAGCTTTGTCAGGCTCATTACAACCTTTAACAAAATATACTATTAGCATGACTTAGATGCTAAAATGATTCCGTTATTATAAAATATATATATTTTTTTAAAAATCTCTAAATATGTTTTTTTTAATAACGTGTATCTATCTCGAGTGTGTGCCTGTATATGTCTATGCGTGTGTTTATGTATCTCTCTGCCTGTGAATTCTTAGTTTAATTTATTGTATATCTATGACCAGTACTGCTGAGTGATATCATATTTCCTTAGCACTACCCCAGTCAAACTCCTCACCCGAACCCTCCAGTCGACGAGTTAAGTCTACCACTTTCTTGGTTTTTCGCCGACCTTAAGTCGGGCTAAATTTAATTTGCCCTTTTTCAATTGATACATTGTCTTTAAAAAATTATACTGTACGGAATAAATTATTTAAAATTGACATTTGAAAATAAGTTGAAATAAAAATGAAAAACAGGGCATACAACTCATTATAGATTTTTAAAAGATTATAGAATTAAAGCAAGAAATACATCGCCTATTAAGTATGTCTCCAGTTCAGATAGGGCTCAAATTTATGCAGCCCAAATAGCCACGTTAATTTTATTTCATTCTGTTGTACTTACTTTCGATGTTTTTGTTTTTCTTCCTTTCTTCTTTATTATGGACAATATCAACGAAATGTATTTCAGTCAATACCTTGAGACACGGAATTAAAACAATTAATTTTGGATCAAGCTGAAGTCAAGAATTAAAACAACGCACTACTAAAGATTTTTGTTAATTTGAAATAGATATACTGTTGACTAACATGGGCTGAGCTCAAGAATCTAGACCCCTGGAGTCACCACTGACAAAAATCAATATATATGTTCGAAAATCCTTTACTTTTGTGTTATTATGTTTAAAGAAAATTTATGGTAGATGGCGCTATGTTGCATTTGTCATTCGTGTATATTTGTGGCTAGTCTGTCTTCAACATTTAACATGCGTAGTAGTACGTTAACTGAGAAGTGTTCCGTTTAACAATGACAGGATACTCATATCGTAAGCAGACAAATATAATTTTTGCACACGGCCGTGCGAATCATTATGGACGGGAGACTGCACGGTTGTTTCAGATTGCTTTTCCAAAACGAAGGTAGCCGGTTCATCCAACCTTTACTGTTGTTTATCGTCACATTGCTGAGATAGAAAACACACATCCATCACAGAAAACAGACATCCATTCGTACGCCTGAAGAACACATTCTATAGGCTGTCGGAGACGATGCAGGTATCAGCACATCAAGTGGCCCAAGCATGGAGGGTACTTCAAGAACATCTTCTGTATTCATATCATTTGCAACGTGTGCAGAGTCTTTTTCAACCTCTGATCACTCGCCGCAGGAGAACTTTTTCCGATGGTTTATTGCACTACCTGTCGATCCGCCGTTTGTTTCTTCAGTCTTGTTTACGGATGAGCCAATATTTGGAAGAGATGGAATAACAAATTTACACACCCAACATTTGTGGGCGGATTGGAATCCCCAATGTTACAATACAGGCTAGACACCAACGTCAGTTTATGATTAATGTGTGTGTTGGAATTGTAGATGACTGTCTGGTAGGTCCATATGTTCTCCCAGCACATCTAGAGGATGTACTCGTGCTAATACAAAGACGCATGTGTTATCGGGGCCTATGAAACCATTCAACACCGTGTGAGAGTGTTTGAAAGAGTCCGCCAGTCAATGATCCGACGGTTGCATGCGTGTTTAAAAGCAAGCGGAGAAGATTTTGAACATTTCTTATGATTTGCTGTATTGAGGTACAATGATGGCCGTTTGGACATTTTACCTCGTTTTAGTGTCAGGAACCCGCTCTCAAAGTCTGTAAATGAATTTTTATACACTCTGTATATTGGTGTAACACAATCTTTCTTTTTTTCTCTCTCCACCATTTACTTTGTGCCATATTAATCTAATTTTAAGAAAGATCACTATGCACATCAATATCTGCCTATATTTCTGAGATGATGTATTATGTACACTATTTACATTATTCGGACTATTGTCCTCATCTTTGTCGCCATATTTATTACAACGTTTCGGCCGTTGTACGTTCCGACCTTCTTCAGGTAGTTGGAATGTCGAACTGAACCCTTTATTTCGCTCGCCGGTGTAGACTGTTCTAGTTCCACGTGCCATGTCTAATGGATGTCAATTATCAGTTATCTCCTGTTAATTCACAACTCTTTGGGTCCTGTCACTGGATCTAACCAACGCCTTTATCCACTGTATCATGTTTCCTTAAAATAATTACAATAAATCTTGCCGTTAAAGGAAAGTGTTCACCAAGATCAAATTTTGTTAAGTAGAACTTGATGAGAATCTTTCTTGAATTATGTCCTGAAGAGCTGAAAATATGATCGGTAAATTGTAGCTTCAGGAAAAACCTTTTCTTTTAAGTAATTTCTTGTTGGTGAAGAATTGGGAAAATACTGTAATATCCAAGTTAAATTTCTTTAGCGTGGCAACCATGTGTCTGGTTGACTTTTCTTTTGTCTCACTGATGAGATAGGTTCGCGCTCCTTATTTATTTGGTTGTGTGTCGTCTGACAGGCTCCAGGCTGTCATGTGTCCTTGAGAACATGTCCTTAAGGACATCTGTGTATGAATTTCTGGGTATTATAAACCTAATGTCTTTAGCAACCATTTTTACCAAGGCTCATACTGCAATTTTTGCAGATATCATCATATTTTTACCAGAACTCATATTGCAATCTTTGTTGTTGTTATCGCTTTTCTCTAGCACTCCTTATTACTTGTGCCAAACTAAATTTAACAAATATCAGGAAACAGTTTTGCATTTCCAGCAGTGTACCTAACGTTTTTAGATTCCGAGGTGGTCGTAGAACATTCTGTCCATCTGAACAACTTTCCAAAACTGGACAACATCTACAAAATATAAAGAAAGATTACAATTACAGGTATTTATTTGATTTTGATTTCAGGAAAGAAAAAGCAGCGTCGACAAAATAAAAAGATGGAAAAACTTTTTAAAATAATTAAAAAAGAATATCTTCAGTAAATAACAATTTGGGGGATATTATTATAACATAGACAATAGAGGTACCATGAAAAATTGCCAACAGTAAGTGACTTATTTCTAACTCTCAAAGATAATGTCCAATGTATTCTTCTTTATGCCCTATCCATTCAGGACGTTGGTGATCAGGATTCTTCACAATTTCCTCTCCTTTGTAGCGTTAAAAAAATTTCTCTTTTTTGTCATCTCTCCCTATTCTACTCTCCATTTACACAATCTCGATAGTTATGTTATGCGATGTTTTCTTCTGTCCCTATTGCTTTCAATATGTCTTGCGAGTGTCAAATTTTCCAAACCCTCTTTCCTCGTTATGTACCTCAGAAATTTCAACTCTCTTTCTGATATTAAGTATAAGTGTCATTTTTGTTTCCATTTTTCTATAAAACTTCGTCATTGCTCACATATTCAATCCATATTATTCTCACAATCATTCTGCAGAACCACATTTCTGTTGCTTCAAGCCTCTATTTCATCTGCGAAGAGATTGGCCAGCATTCACTGCTATATAGGGGGACTGATATTACCTAACAGTTCAGTACTCTTTTCTTTGTTTCTAACGAAATTTTTGTGTTTCTTAATATTTTTCTTAGCTTTTCAAAGGCGTCTTTCTCTATGCCAATGCGTCTTCGGATTTTGGTGTCGCACTATTCCTCCTCTGTTAAAACATTTCCCAGATATTTAAATTGTTGTACTTGCTTGAATTTGGTATCCCTTATTTGTAATTTGCATGTTGGCCTGTTCCTTTTGCTAAAAAAAAAATACATTGTCTTCTTACAATTGATATTTAATCCTTTCTTCTCGCTTTCTTTCACAACACACACTGAGAATTCTTTTTGTTTTCTTTCTGTGTCTGTTATCAACACTATGCCATCTTATGTTAAAACATTTCCCAGATATTTAAATTGTTGTACTTGCTTGAATTTGGTATCCCTTATTTGTAATTTGCATGTTGGCCTGTTCCTTTTGCTAAAAAAAAATACATTGTCTTCTTACAATTGATATTTAATCCTTTCTTCTCGCTTTCTTTCACAACACACACTGAGAATTCTTTTTTGTTTTCTTTTCTGTGTCTGTTATCAACACTATGCCATCTTATGTTAAAACATTTCCCAGATATTTAAATTGTTGTACTTGCTTGAATTTGGTATCCCTTATTTGTAATTTGCATGTTGGCCTGTTCCTTTTGCTAAAAAAAAATACATTGTCTTCTTACAATTGATATTTAATCCTTTCTTCTCGCTTTCTTTCACAACACACACTGAGAATTCTTTTTGTTTTCTTTCTGTGTCTGTTATCAACACTATGCCATCTTATGTTAAAATTGTAGCTGCCAATAATGAAGGCTGCTACGACGTCTAATTCTCTTAGAATTTTCGTTATTGTTTTGGTTGAATAAGTTTTGAATATTTACTGAATTCAATTTCTATATGTATGCAGGCGGTTTTACTCTCAGTAAAACTTTTGGATTATTTTGTTATCTTTCCCAAATATGTCATGGTTGCCTCGAAGTTCCAACGGTTCTTGGTGACTATTTTTGTCAAACGTTTTTGCATAATCCATAAAACATAGCTATACATCTTTTGGGATTTGTATAGCTACTTTCTGAGTACTTTTGAGCATACATATCGCATTCGTTGTTCTAGTATCTTTAACGAACACGCGCTGTTTTTTCTTCTATTTCCGTTGTAATTCTGCTACTGTATTCTCGTTAGACTTCAAATGAGTTCTCTTATATGTGGCTCATTAGGTTGATTGTTCGCTGGATTTCACATTCATTGGAATTTCGCTTCTTAAGCAGTGCAATGTAGATGGATCTACTTAGGTCTAACGTTATAAAGTGAACTTACGTAAAAATGGCACAAGTGGAATGAGATAAAAAAAATGACAATGATGTATGATATAGTATAATACTTACTGAAGCATTTAGATCACCTCGATCCGGTGTAATGGTTAACAAGCTTGTCCCACTATAACAGTTACGACTGAGTAATAGATTCGATCTTTACTGGGTGGCCCATACTTTCGACATTGTGCCACATCTAAGCTGTACTTGGAAAATCAATATTTGCTACCTACCGTAAATGACTATGCAGTCATTATTGCTAGAAAATGCTCAAGAAAAACGATGACATTTTTACTGTTTTTTAATGACATCAATTCAGTTTTAAAACATTAAAATCACGAAGTATAACTCCTAACCCTAACATATTTCATAATTCCAACAGTTGGTAAATATCATACCATTGTAGAAAATGAATAGTGGATATGATACGATTGTAGAAAATGAACGGTAGATATTATACTATAGTAGAAAATGAATAGTAGATAACAGAATTTAGTAGAAAATGAATACTAGATATCATACTATAGTAGAAAATGAATACTAGATATCATACTATAGTAGAAAATGAATAGTAGATATCATACTCTAGTAGAAAGTGGGTGGTAGATATACAAAAGTAGAAAATAAATAGTAGATATTATACTATAGTAGAAATACATGGTAGAAAACATACCATTGTATAAAATGGACCGTAGATATCATACTATAGTAGAAAATGAATAGTAGATATCAGAATTTAGTAGAAAATGGATGGTAGATATCATACTATAGTAGAAAATGAATAGTAGATATCAGAATTTAGTAGAAAATGGATGGTAGATATCATACTATAGTAGAAAATGAATAGTAGATATCAGAATTTAGTAGAAAATAGATGGTAGATATCATACTCTAGTAGAAAATGGATGGTAGATATCATACTCTAGTAGAAAATTGATGGTAGATATCATACTCTAGTAGAAAATGAATAGTAGATGACGGTAGATATACTATAGTAGAAAATAGGCTGTAGATATCATACTCTAGTAGAAAATGAACGGTAGATATACTCTAATAGAAAATGGACTGTAGATATCATACTATAGTAGACAATGGACTGTAGATATCATACTATAGTAGAAAATGGACTGTAGATATCATACTCTAGTAAAAAATGAACGTAGATATACTCTAGTAGAAAAGGGACTGTAGATATCATACTATAGTAGAAAATGTAGAGTAAATATCATACTATAGTAGATAATGAATAGTAAATATCATACAATAGTAGAAACTGAACGGTAGATATCATACTCTAGTAGAAAATGGACGGTAGATATCATTCTATAGTTGATAATGAATAGTAAATATCATGCTATAGTTGATAATTAATAGTAAATATCATGCTATAGTAGAAAATGAATAGTAGATATCATACTATAGTTGATAATGAATAGTAAATATCATGCTATAGTAGAAAATGGACGGTAGATATCATACTATAGTAGCACCTTTAATTTTACATACTATTTGATTATACTAATTTCCCTAAATGCTGCTCCCTGAAACATGTCGCCCGAAGTGGAACCCCTCATCCGCTACCTTCTCGGTTTGCCAATGTGCATTTTACATCGATGTTTGATGTCGGTAATGGAATCCAAATGTTCTATGTAGGTAGGATCTTCGTACTTGGAAGAGTGTTGGCGCCATACAATCTTCTTATTTCCAGTCCCTCTTCTACTAAAGTATCTTTATTTTTACAAACCTAATATTGACAATTCCCTTCTCTTTTTAAAGGTCTTCATCACTGGTCATATTTCACCTGGATTCTCACCTCATGGTCTAATGTGGTTTTATTCACAGTACAATCAACGATTCATTTTCCTTGTCCAGCAATATGCCGATGTGATCAACGCCATGTTTTTCGGACACGATCATAAATCATCTTTTAAAATAATTACCACAAACGGTAAGCGACATTGTCTTCGATAGTTTAAAATTATCTGTTTTATATCAGCTCATTTGACAAAATATGTTTATTTTACCTGTTTTTATTTATTTCTTAGGCAAGGGTTCTGTGCCAGTCTTCATCGTTCCGTCCGTGACACCTTGGACATATACGTATAATCACAACCCAGCAATGTGGCTAGTTAACTACGATCGAGAATTCGTGAATCTCATAAAGATCGAGCAATATTACGTTGACTTATTGCAAGCGAACAGACTTCAGAATTTAAAATATAAACTTGGTTATTCGATTCCCAGTGCATACAAAATGAAAAACATCTCCAGCGAATCGTTGTTGAATTTTTGTGAGAGGATGAAATTGGATGATGCATTGTTTCTCACATATATGAAGAACATGTATGCCAACGTCACTACAAAGAAGCAACCTGAAATTAATTTGGATTTGAAAATAAAGGTCTTGTGTTCGATGAACAGTATGGACGAAAATATATTTGGGAATTGTAAAGCTCGCGGCATTAAACCGGTGAATAGCAGTAGGTCAAATGTTTCCATAAATCTAATCCGATTAATTGCCTTAATCTTCATAACTTTAGCTTTAAACATTTGTTGGTAACATTTTTTTTATATACATTGCAACTTTTAGACCAATATTCTTACCATAGTCGTCTTTATAACACCGGTTCACTCGTATGTAATTGTAAATTCTCTAGGAATATAAAATAGAATATTTTATTTGAGACACTGGGTCATATATTTCTCATTCCTGTAACTGACATCTCTTTTCTAGATTTTAATTGAAACTTCCTGGAAGGTTACTCAGTGCAGCATGAAATGGAACATGTTTAGGGGATATAGTCGCCGAAAGGTTGAAATAAAGACAACAAAGATAAAGATACTTATTCGAAAGAATCAATCTATAATAGTAATAACATGTCGTTTTAAAATCCAAACGATATTTTCCAGCGAATCATTATAGTATCGAAACACAAGTCTTTTACTTATGTATGATCTCAACACCGACGACTTTGATTTCGTAATAAAATGAGTTCATTAAACATTTTAATTTTCGTTTAATTTTTAATTTTAATGACTTCACCAAACTTTGATTTTAATGGGTTAATCTAACATTAATTTTAATGGGTTTTAATTAATTTTAATGGGTTAATCAAATTTTGATTTTAATGGGGTTTAATTCATTTTAATTCATTTTAATTTTAATGGGTTAATCAGACTTTAATTTTAATGGGTTTTAATTCAAATTAAAAACGTGGTCGGACGGACATTTCACCAAAAAGTACAAGTAAAAATAGTAACAAACAATACTTTACATATTTTAATTATCAGTATTATAAGGTAAAAAAGGACTAATAATTACCATTGAATTTCAAGTGATTAAATTACTAAATCTAAAGTTTTCTTATTTCAATATTTGTTTATTGAAATTAGTATTTTTTAAAAATATTTGAGTGTATTTGGGTAAAGAGTAGCACCTAATTATATAAATTCGTATTTAACAGTAAGATAAAAGTTAGTTCACCCCTTTAAGATCAGTCAGTTAAGTGCCATGCGTGATACACGCTGACGAGACAGATTTTTTTTGCCGCAGTAGGTTGTCATTTCTTTCTGCGATAGACCAGTTGCCATCCAAGGCTATAGAACCCAGTCTGTTCTACTATTTACCCATAGCTGGGAGGAGAAGAAGAGGATTCATTCCTTTCCCAAGGGTATTAGAACGTAAGTGAATGTAATGGATTCGATTGGAATTCGAACTCGGCTCTCCGATTCCTCAATCCGAGCCGCTGCACTGTATAAAGTGTCATTAAAGCGAAATTGAAAGATCTTTCATATCGTAAAATCTTAAGATTTTTGCTGGAGTAAAATGTACTTTTTCTCAAGAACTTATCATCTTACAGTAATATTTGAAGGAAAATATAATATATACAGAACAGATTTTTTTAAAAAATGGAATGGAAAATATATAGCTGCCAGTTTCAAGTTGATTTAATATTCAGGTACATAGTAAACCTGTAGTGAACAAAACAAGATCTAGATTTAAAATTCAAATTCTAAGAACTGACTCATTGATTTTGTTAAAAATTAAAAAGACTCGAATTTACAAACTTTGCTTAACACACACGCAAAAGTGAATCCAAAACAAAATGCGTGAAATTTCACACCTTGATGCGAAATGTTTTTCGGCCAATAGAAATTAGGAATCATTTAAAAACAAAATTCAAATAATCTTCGATTCTCAGAAACAAATTCTTTTACGGACCTTTTCGCGAGCCGACGCGAAGTTTGTTCGTCGTCCAATGGAAGGCCCGTCCAATGGAAAGGGAGTGAATTCCCAAATGACCTTTTCCAGCCCCACAAACAAAATAAAAACTGGCAAGTTCGCCTGTCATCAGAGAGAAGGAGACGAGCGTATTAACAAGTCCCTTGACAAACAATCGTTATTATTATCTCTACCTTTCTCCCTCATCTCTTTTATACTTGATAAACGAACGGAACATTTTAAGTCTGAGCGATTAATTCAAAGACATTGCTTACCTTACATACACATAAACTCATTCTTGCAAGGACTACTACGAACATTTTGACGATCTTGTTTCAACCAAAATAGATTAATTTTATTTGTAAAGACCTTAATCGATTTATATGTATATAAATTTGTTGTTTCGCTTTACAATTTGATTTTCTTGTTTTATACCCCTCTTATGGTGGGATATCTAACTAACAAGGCCAAATCAAACTAATCTGTATCCACACTCATACACTTCACTATAACTGATAACCCACTATAAAACCCTGGGTTAGATTTTGAGGCGTACAAATATGATTGTTAAGTAAGGAGGTGTAGGTAATATAATAGATACTTGTTTTCATGTCTACACTTGGAAAGGAATTCTTAAATATTCTTTATTCAATAATCTGTTATGCTGGGGGAATTCTAAAATGCAAAACTTTTCTTTCAGGCTTAATCCACCCCTGCATCATCAGACTTTGCATGAAAATACTTCTCTTAATTTTTTCCATTCCATTTTTGGACTATTGTTACCCTATTCTTTTAACTCTCACAAAGAAGTAGAAAATGACATATTATTGGAATACTGCCTTCTCTTGAAAGAAGTTTTGTGATTGGAGAAATGCCAATATAAGTCATGACTGATTCACCTCTAGTCTTTACTGTTGCCTGCTAGACTGTGTTAGTAGTTGAATATTTGACCCCGCCAAGAAACAAATTATCTATTGCTGCAGATACAAAACTTGGTTGGTTTTATATCATTGCGCACTGCCTTTGGTGTTATTGTTTGGATCGTTTTGTCTGGGCAACAACAGCTAAATTTTATCCTAATTCTGTTAAACATTTTATTTACATTACTAGTAACTGAGAAGAGTTTATCAATAAACTTTAAAAATATACCCGACAGTCGTCTTTTATAGCTTTATTATAAATGGTTGTTAAACCAACTGATCTTTCTTTTTCTCTGATGGTCTTCCTCCTGACATTCAGTTTTTAAATAGAAATTAGCTGAATATTCATTAACAAATAAGAAGCCGCTTCATATTCCGGCTTAGCATAGTAAAATTACTTTTATTACGAAATTGTGCAGGGAGTTTATCACACGCATGCTTCAAGATCTGTTTCAGAAGCTTACAAATGATTTAATATGTTGATGCAAAAATTAGTGTTACTTTTCTTTCTGTAGGGGTGGAAAATCATTTACTGAGTTCAACCCAGACCAAAGAAAGTTCACCTCTTTCAAATTAGTTTTAAACTCGAGTTTTAGCTTTAATTACCTTAGCATCTTTTAACTGAATTAACTATTATTATAATCTCCTGTCTCTCAGTTTTGCTGTCATTACAACTTCTGAGAAACATTAGGCTATGATTCAGATGTAACCTTACATTTATTATCAACTGTTTCTTTAATTTAGATAGTAGGTTGATTCTAATATGTTTCACCTAATTCTACTCTATCGAAACTCTTTATGGGGACATTAAAGCTCCCACTATAATGCCCACCTTTCTTGAGCCACACAACATCCTTGTAAAATAATACGTATATGCGGCAGAGCTTGATGATTTCTATCTGCTGTTCATTTATAGTTGTGCATAATTTGGACATATCGCGAGTTCTGTTAAATGTTTCTTTACTGATCGATGAAGACAAGTTTGATACGAAATTGCATATATGAATTAAAATAAAATGTAGACTCATTAGCCTGCCTGTCTTGGTTATTCTTTGGTGAAGAAACAGAAAGCACAACCGACGAAGAAATATGAATCGCTGTGCATGAAGAGAGTAAAAAAAAGGAGATGGTTTGACGAGGTGTGTGGGGTGGGGTAATGAGATAAAACCAATAAATAATAATGAAGAATTTAAAAAAAAAAAAATAATTCTCCCATGATGCAAATTATAAAGAAACCGGAAGGGTTTCTGATCACATGTTCGATTTAATGACCCTACTTCCGAAAAGGACAATCTTCCGCTTTCCACTTTCCAACGAAATCGTTCGGACATGTTTTCAACAATCTTACTCATGAAGTAGAGATTCGGCCATCTCAAGCGAGCGCAAGACTGATTTGAGCTTGTAGGGGACCGTGTGGGTTTGAGTGTTGTTGAATTAGGAACACGTGCGGTTTATTCCTACTAGAAGAAGGTCCAACTACAAGAACAATGGCGGACTCAAGTTGAGTCCAACCGAAGATGTGAAGAAAACAAACAAGACCGATATATATATGTCAACAAATATATGTACAGTGTAACCCGGATATAAGAGAGTTGTCGGGACCGGAGAAGAAGTCTCTTATATCCGGGTTTCTCTTATATCCGGGTTTGGTCTATTTTATATACATTAACACAGGCTCTAATTTGGGACCAGAGAAAATCTCTCTTATATCCGGGTTTCTCTTATATCCGGGTTACACTGTATTAAACAACAAATTTACAAGTGTCAAAGACATCAACATTTGTGTTTGTGTGTGAACGTAAAAAAATTGTATTTTGGTGAATGTTCGTACGTACGTGTATGTGTGTTTCATGGCGTTTTCTCACAAGTTGGCCAAAACGCTGATCTTTGTGAGAGATCACATTTTAAAATGTATCCGCTGAAATGCAAAGTGAAATAAGAGAACGGGGGAATAAATTGCCCAGTATTTATAGTGTAGGGAGAACGACCCCAAGTGAAGAATTATGA